AATTCCTTATCCGGATTTCTGGTACGCAGACTGTAATATGGAGTCATTCTTTTCCTCGATTCGGGATTAAAATTAGTGACTTGGGACACCCTAAATCTCCCAAGTGGCGACTCTGAAATAAATAAATAAATCCCGCTTCGATTGTCCTTTAATTGGAAAAAACTCCTTGTACCCTCTCGGGGGCAGAAAAAGGAGGTGTGACACCCACTGGCTGCAACTGTCCACTATAGGTATTTGCGTATGCACCAATACTATATTCTTTATCAACGTGCCTCGTTGCCGCAAAACCTGCATGTTGAACCACTTCATGGCATGTGAGCATGGCAAGTGATAGATTGATCATTTCTCACACGAGCATAATCTTCTGGATTCATTGACCGTGTGTGTATTATTCTCGTGGTTTTGATGCAGACCAGTGCGAACTTCAAAAATATTTCGCTCCCTGCAATACTGCAAAAATGTACGCCATTCTACTCGCTTCTATATTTCCCAAATCGTTTCATTGGTTGTGGCATAAATTCAACACCCCATTCCATCAATGACGATGCACTTCTAGATCTTTCAACAAACATCTATGACATATGCTTGAATGATATCCCCAATATGGCACTAACAGGCAATCCACGTGCAGACTTCAACAGCCCGTTGAAAGACTTTGATACATTTGTAGTCAAAATTCTCCACCTTCTTACCATCCTTATGCAAAGTCCACTTGTCAAGCTCATCTCTCATCAACCAGCGATAGGCTTCTGGGTCTTCCTGCCCAATCAATTCCATTCACTTCCTGAATTTACACTCTTGGCGATCTATTGCAACCATCCATATTAAATCATGCAAGTCCTTGTTCGGGTGAGCCCTCTGGAAGTTGTCCTTCAAGTACCTAACATAGTAACGGTGGTAGGTATACGGTTCCTACCATGCACACAAATTACGTGCAGAACTTAAAAAATCGCCATGGCGATAAGATATTAGACAAATACATGAACGATGTCTGACAACGTGCTCCTACAAGTGATTCAAAAATAATATCCACGTCTCTTGGCTTTCATTGGCACAAATAGAAAATGCTAGGGGAAATATGCTTCCATTAGCATCTACTGCAACAGCGATCAACAACTTAATAGCATACTTTCCATAGACATAAGTGCCGTCTATGGATATTATCGGTTGACAATGTACAAAACCATCAATGGCTGATTTAAATTCCCAAAACACATATCTGAATATGGATTCTGGTATTTCCGGACTCCGCTCAAGCTTCTATTCAACAATAGTTCCGAGGTTAATGTGTTGCAATGGAGCCATTACCTGGGTAGAGCGGCAAAGGACTTATCTCAGTTACCTTAAACAATCTCAAACACACGTTTACGCCCGAGAAATGCCTTTATTTTGGTAATAGTACATTCATATACCTGGTGGACAGATGTTATACACTCTTTAATCCTATACCTTATGGACGTTTCAATGTGTGGAATCAAGACAAGAGAAATCAAGTCAATATTCAAGTTAAAATGATTCCCATTGAATGTTTCCATTTCACAAGTGTGGGTGCTAATGTATTTCCCCACAATCCACAAATTTATTTTCAACTTTCGCGCACGCAGCATCCATTTACAACCTTGAAACCATCTACGACAAATAACTTTGTATACTTTCGGAGATGACTCATGAACCACGATCTCACGACACTCTTTTATGATATACATTCGCACTGCCATGCTTAAACATGCTTTATTAGCAAAAACATATTCTTTGACAGCACCGCTGGTCTAGATTCATCCCATATTTCTGTCCAAATGTCGTTAAGATCCCTTGTGAAGGCATCCACATCCGGCATACTTGACAACTGATCAAAGTGGGGAATCTCCCGTGAATAAAATGACAGATGGGACTCGTACAGTCTCGGTCTAACGGGAGGTGGAGCATGCTTCCTCGTCAAATCAGGTTCATCATTCTGATCCTCATTATCATCACCCTCATCATGGAGGGTGTGTCATCTCCAGACTTATCAACATTGCTGTCATAATCACTATCATCTTCCTGACTCTGCGCATCTGCCAGATCTCGACACACTAAAACTAGGCATATTTCAACTGTCCATTGGTTCATAACTTGTAAAATTCATATCTGGCAGGGGAACGAATATATGAGTGTTAATACAAATACAATACATAAAAAAATATCGTAATACAAAAAAAAATTGAAGTTTACCACTCGGCTTGTGGATTATGTAAACTTGGGGAGAAATTATGCCATCGCTCCTCATTCGCCCGTGGAGATAAGTTTAGATCTGTCCAAACTCTTTCAAATGGAACCTGTTCGGATAAAACTGCTCCAAAAAAACCACCCGATGATTGAGGGTTATCTCTATTTTGCGGAACCTCAATATTAAGAACGTCTTCAGCCTTGACGTATATTTCCAACATTTTTATCACAAGAAGTTCCTGGTGTTCAACCGGAGTTCTCAAAAAACCTATCAGAGTTTCATTGTCTTCGATATTGAACTCAGTATAACAAGCAACCCCTTGCGGAGTAACAGAATACAGATATCTTGTGATTATTTTAATATTAATCGAATGTTTTCTCACACTCATTTTTTTACATAACAACGATATCAATCTATCGTACTCCATTGTAAGTGGCAACTTAACATGACACTGCGGAGAACAACTATAGCGTACTGAGTTATTCTCCACCACAACCTCGCCCCTTCTTCCCTACTCCCCCAATATAATGAAACCCTAATTTGTCGCTCTTCGGACATTATGACAAAATGCAAAATAAATTAAGAAAACAAATACTTTAGAAGACCTGAAGGAACATGAATGAATTTTTACTAAAATTCTGAAACTCCTTAAATAAGCAAAAAATAATAGTCCGGCGTACAATAATTGAAGGTATAACATGCATAAGAGGCGCTATATATAAGGCGTATTATGCATGTACTATACCTTCAATTATTGGTGGGTCAGCAAAGTTCAGATGAATTATTGATAGGTCAGTAAATTTCAAATTTAGCGCATGTAACCCATGCGTTATACCTTAAAGAACAAACGTGTCGTTAAGGTATAGCGCAGTGAAGAAATGTATTATATAAAATAATTCTTAATTGTTTATTTCACCCATTTTTGTGTTTTGAGTCCAAAAAGACAGCACTTTGGTTCGGGACTCCCTCCACCACCACCACCACCCCATACACACACACTCACACAATGTTAGAGTTTGCCCTGATTTTCTATCATAATTTGAATTACTTTTCTTGATTGAAAATATTTTTTTGGTGGAATCCATAAATTGAGAATTTTTTCTTCTCACACAATAATCCAATAGCATCCACAATGTAATATTTTAGGTTTTGAGAGTTTTTTTAAATTTATTTAAGGAGAGTTTTATTTTTATTGAATCGTTCATATGTAAGTTACTTGACCAAATCATATTAAAGTATTATGCCTCTTTTTGTTTTTGTTAATTTTCCCATGACGCCTTGTTAGTTCAACCCAATACACACAATTGTATGCAACCAAAGAAAGGTTGGAATTCTTATTAGTTTCCAAACCATGCCTTTCACTTGCTTGAGCCGGACTCAATCGCTCTATTAGTTTGGAGGATTAATCATCATTCACTCTCTATCTATTACAAACAGGGAGCGCAGCAGTTTGTGCACTAAGCTCTCAGTTGAGGTCCAGTGAAGGATCAAACCATGTTGGATTAGACCTTTGTTTTTTTTTTGTTTTTTTTGCAAGGGGTTGAATTCATGGCTTAAGTTTCTATCCTCTTGATTATTTTCTAGTAGTTAATGGATTGATTAAATCAAAAGCAATCATTTGATTTACGTAAACTTGCATGTGCTCCTAATTCGCAGGATATAAAATTTGTTGGGCGTGCTTCTAGTTCATACGGGATGGAGATTGTCCCTTGGTAACATGCCCAGTGAAACAATTTTACTTGCACTCCATACATGTGTATTGGTTTGGTGTCTGTATTGGATAAATAGGCTTAATGATTGTCGTTAGAGATTGTATTGCTTCCCTACTCCAAAGAAAAACATGAAAACTCAGAATTAACTAGAAGATCAACATTTTCAATATATCAAGCAAGAGAAAATATATGGAACTTTTATTTAAGATGTCACCAAAATTCTTTAAAAATCAAAATATGGTTCAGATTTTTGTTTAAATTCCTTAAATAGAAGAATGTGCGGAGTAACAATATGAAATTTTTCTAACACTGCTCCTCTGATGAAATTTTACATAAAATTTTATGGATGGGTCACGGTGAATAAGGGTCAGTCTCATTTCTTCAACCAACTCCAACTCATGTACCTTAAAAGTGTTTTCATGGTTAAAACAGCATCACCCTATTCTGATAGCCAATTTGCCGGATTTGGGAAATTTATGTTATTACCCGACTGCGTGGTTTCAGAAGAATTGCATAGGAGACCGTGACAAAGAAGCTGACACACCTGCTAAAAAGTTGTGGTTATAGCTGGCGCTACTAGAAGTTATAGAGAAGCAAGAAATGCTACCTTTGTGAAGGACCACAACAACCCTCCCTCACAAGCCCTTTCCTGTGGTCTTTAGTTAAGCCGTTTGCCTCTTCCTTTAGAAGCTTCATCATAAAGTGCAGACTTCGAAAAAATAGGGACATTATCAAACAGAATTCTCCCAGCATACCCCNGGGGGGAGGGGAATCAGTACAAACAGAAAAAGGTAGTCCAAACTTCCTCTATGTGTGAGGCCCAGAAAGGGCCAGACCACATGACCACATTGATCTACTTCGACCAGACTTGATTTGACATCCACATTTAATGAACTCTTTCGGATCAACTATCACCTGCTACTTAGTAATCAAATCGGGCGGCAAAGTTTTCCATCACGATTTTGTCGTTTTGTAGTTCTAAAGAGTGCCACAAATCTATTACTCGCAGAGCCACAATATGCAAAGACTTGACAGATCTTTTTGGCAAAGAAAATAAAATAAAATAAAGCAGAAAATCAATGAATTTGTGAAACAAATGGAGGTCATAGGATCAGTGGTATACAATAAAATGCACGACTTCATTGCTAACACTAAAATAGTATGTATATCAGCTATTTACACTTATCAACTTGAAATATTAAGAAACCTGATTAAGACACCAATTCCACAAAATCAAACTAGAGATTAAAGAATATGAACAATTGCATTACAAATGACGGGGTTGTACAGAGTAGTCCATTGGGGAGTAACACCGTACCAGGAAACAAGTGCCAGAATATTGTTTGCAGATAGATCTATACACACTCTGCATATGGCGACCAGTTTCCGATATATCAAAGAACCATCCGATTGGCGCATAAAAGGAGCTTCATGATGATAAATTGTCCAATCAGTCAACAGCCTTTGCACTCTTGGGCACCTGTCCCCCAGCATAAGAATGCCATCAGGTAAGTGTGAGAATCGCTTTACTGGTTCATGTTTCTATTTATTATCATGAATCATGAGGGCCTTGGATCAGCACAGTAATACACTTAGAACTGTCTGCACGCATGATATCTCCTTTAGATCCAATCTGGGATGAAAAATCATTTTGAAGATACCTCAAAACTCTTAGCTAACCCAAGTATTCCGAGAAAAACCATTAGAAGTGTAGACAGGCTGATAAAACAGAGAGAATCGGCAGTTTTTAAAGGAAGAGCTACCTCATTTGGTATATCAGGGGAAAACCATCTCAGTAGAACACCAAGGTGCACAACAGCAGGAATTAGCTTGAAAAGCAAAGGTGTTGTAACCTGCAGAAATGGTTTGGAATGAGCACAAAATACCAGCAGTTTTTTTTTTAACAAAGTATAACAGTTAAGTATAATTACTATAGTGAACATTCCAAAAAAAAAATAGATTGGGCCATGTAATGCTGATAATTTGTCTTCCCCAAATTATCAATACAGTTTGCATGAGGCTCATTGGTGGTATTTTGAGGTTACCTGATAAAATTCTGGACCAGGCATAAATGACCAACAGTAACTTGATGAGATTAACTCGAGATAATCTCATCAAGAGGGGATTCCAGTTATGTTACAGATGTTATTTTATGTGGTGTTGAGGCAGAGACAATCAGTCATCTCTTTTACATTGTAGAATGACAGATCAATTATGGAAGTTGTTCATTAACTTGAGGGGAATTAGGTGGATCATGCCAAGGAGAATCCAGGAAGCCCTACCATGCTGGAATAGAGATGGTAACCTGTCAGGACACAAGAAGCGATGGAAGATTGTCCCAGTCTGCATCTGATGGACAATTTGGAACGAGAGAAATCAAAGATGTTTTGAAGACAATAGCAGTTCCATCCAAAAGTTGAAGGCGAACTGCTTAGTCCTTTTTTTATTTTTGGTGTAAACAGGAGTATTTACAAGAAGCTGAGTCCATTTTTGAAGTCTTAGACTATTTATGAGGTAGTCAGGGATAGGAAATCAGATTGTACTTCTGTTTGTAATTATGAAGGATGACACTGCTTTGTGTAGTTCCTGTTTATATATATACAGATACGTTACCTTCTCAAGAAAAGGAATTCCTAAACCCTAAACCTTGAACCCTGTGAAACCCTACCCTGATGACTAGCAGATTAAGCATACTAGGAAAACCTGCCTGGACCATGAAATTTCAATAGAATTAGGCTACTCATTGAAACATAAAGCATCCAAAAGGAGAGTTATATATCGAGGCAGATTAATGCTACGCCCTTCCATTAGCGCCTTTTTAGACTTGTGCTCACAACCTAAGGGTGCACTACGTGAAGTTGTCACCATGAATCTCAAAACAGTCTAAAAGTGCAGTTGGCCAAGGCTAAACGGTACGGGGTTCAACTGAATCCCCTTTATCCGGAAATTACACCGTGCAAGTAGGGTAAAAACAAATATTTTTTGTATATCTATACAATATTGAATCCCCTTAAGATAAGAGAAGCTTTTATATATAGCATTTTTGCATTTTTTTGGAATCCTCTTGTTAGGATTCCTGGCTCCGCCATTGGCAGTGGGTACAGAGCCTGCAGTGCACAGAACCATTTAACTAGATTGCCAACAACAAAAACAGATATGAGAATCTTTAAAAGTCAAAAAAGAGAGACATAAGGCACACTCCTATTTGTGTTAAAAATGGAGAAAGCAACATATTACATACCAGGCTAAGTGCAGTTGTGCCCAGAAGCAGCATATACACTTTACCCTGCAGCAGCGACCAAATTTCATTACTCATCACAAGGTCATCAATCCTTAACATCAACCCAGATTGAAATTACATAAAGGAGTGGCAACACGAGCAGAGTATTTTTTTTACTTGATCAATTTTTTATTTCACGACAGTGCAAACAGATGTTCCTCTTTTGATAAGGTAAGTAAATTTGTGGATGTAAAAAAGGAAAACCCATATAATACTCGTATATCAAAAGGTAGAGAACCTACACCAAAAATACGGTTCTCTACAAAAGACAACCAGTCTTCTATGCAAATAGGGACCTCAAGGGTGCACCAAAAGAAAATTAGAAACAAGAGAGTTTTCCTCAAATTTATAAAATCATTTGCAATTCCAGTCTTAACAGATATTCCTCCCAAGTGCTACTTAAAATAGCACGACATCATATTATCAGACAAATATAAGAACATTTTTTCTAGTTCTGCTAGCAAAGTACTTTAACTGAACCACTACCTCAATTAGATGAACATTTGAGGCGCGACTGAGAAGAACAAATGCAAACTCCCCTATTTGAGCCAGAGACATTCCAACCTGGACATACCATTCAAAAAAGACTTCGTGATGCAAAGCTAGAGGTACAAATACATAGTTTAACCAACTGCTTTATTTAGGACAATGGGACATAAAACAGTTTGGAGTACTTTTTTGATTTGGGAATCCTACCCACCAGAACCCTCCTGCTCAGGGGCCACAGTGGTATTCTCCACTTTTTCCCCTTAGTGACTCTTAACCCCCAACCTCATGGTTGGAGGTGAAGGGATCTCTACCACTAGAGCAACCTTTCTGGTCAAACAATTTGGACTACTTACAAGAAGTGCAGCTTTATTGGTGTAACCGAAACCCTTGACTACTGTGGCAACTACAATAGTTTTTATAATGACGACCAATATAACAGCTGCCAGTAAAATATCGATATGATTCCAGAGAAAATGAACATGGATAAGCATGCCAATGCTGGATAGAAAAAGAGCAGCAAAGAAGTTCCGGATTGGTTCAACCTGCAACGAATGAAAACACAACTAAGAGCCAAGACCAATGATACGTTTTGGAAATGACACTTATCGATCTAAACAAAAGCTAAGAACTAGTTAAGACTTACGGGGATCTTAGTAACTCAGTTAGTTGGCTACCTAACTTTCACCTTGTTGGTGAGGGTTTGATTCCTTACCTTGTTGTTACAACGCATATGCACGTACGTTAGTTCATGCTGTAAGGTAGTCGACGTAAATCCATGAATAGACTATCTTTAAGATGATAAGAAGTTAACTCTATTGGTCTTAAATGATACAAGGGTGGTTAACAAGTATTAGAAGTTAAACAAATCAAGAATGTTGTAACCTGTATTTTCGGGTAAACCTAGAGGTGATTAATATACTCAAAAGGTCGTGTTTTAAGGTATTTGAATCATATAATGTCTGTATCATAAGTCTTGAAGTCAAACGAGTTATGAAACAAAAGTCAACAAAAGTTGTCACAACTTAGGTTCATAATTTTACTTAAACTTTAGGTCAAATGTTACTAAGTTTTTCTCCCAATTTACTAGGAATTAAGGGGTGATCTACCCACCAAATTGAATATCTATGAGTCTAGTTTCCAACTAACCGTTTGTCGATACGATCTCAGAGTAGAGAGATATTCGCGTTTAAGCGAGACTGCGCCAAGCAGCTCTCTATGGGGCCCACACAGGCGGTTTAAGACATATGGGTATATATAAGATGCCTCAAACCCGTTTTAAGTCATTATTTTTCAGTGTATTCAGACCTTAGAACCCTAAAAACATTTCTCTCATGATCCAAGACCCAAACAAAGGGCAAACAACACAAATCAAATGTCGGGAATCCCGTGGCGCTAGTAAGTTTCTTGTTCTTCTTATTGTTGCTCATTTTTGTGTTGTTCCAGCTCGTGTGGAGGTTGTTTTAGGTGGTTTATGTTCTGTAAATACTCCCTCAAGTTTTAATATAAACACTAGGTGATTTCAAGTCTTCTAAAGTGATTCTAGTGCCGAAAAACCCTAATTGATTACTAGTTTCGCTTCATTGTACTTGTTGCAGGATTGGAGGGATATTTCGTGGACAATTAAGGTCATATTGGAGTTGTTCTTTCTGTTTAAAGGTAAGGAACCTCTTACTCTACATGTATGTAAGATTATCCAAGTTGCGGCTAAGTCATTGAAGCTAGAACTTGTGAAATATATGTCGAAAGGCTTGGTAGTAATGTTGTTGGTTGGTGGACTATTTTGAGAGGCTCAATATGATTATTATTGATGTTGTTTGGGTTGTTTGGTGATTGTTTTGACTTGTGGGAGGCTCAATAGGGGAGGTATTGTCCGTTTTATCGTAAAATAGGTTGCGGTCGATAGATAATAGTTACGACCCTAAAACGGTACCGATAGTGTCATTTCTCCTATTATAGACTAAGGAGTCGTGACATTTACATAGCTTGAAGTTGGGCAGTATATACAAGGTATGTGAGGCTATCCCTTTCCTTCTTTTGCACGACTCCGATTTGTACATAATGTAGTGAACGAGCTTCCAAAGATACTCTACTCTTAGAAGCTAGCAGTACTTACATTCAGTGGCGGAGGCAGGATCTCCAGGAAGGGGGTTCAAAAAAAAAAAATTGTAGCTAGTAGGAATTGAACCTATGACCTTATGAAGGTTTTGAACCCCCTTGACCACTAAACTACACTTTTGGGTTGTTTTAAGGGGGTTCAAAACTTAATATATAGAGTTAAAAAACAGATTTTGCCTTATATATATAGTGTAATTTTTCGGCGAAGGGGGTTCGGGTGAACCCCCTTCTGCCCCCCTAAACCCCGCCACTGCTTACATTGTTTCTATTCTTATGGAGCAATTGATGTTGATGTTGCTTCTCTTATTCTTATGTTATCAATGTTGTTGGTACTTCCTGATTCTTATAAGATTCATGATGAAGAGTTAGTCCTAATAACGTGTACAGAGGACCGACCTTACGTCACTCCGAAAGGTTCAGAATATTTTTCCAATGAGTCTAGCATGCATTATATATATGTATCTATTTTACTCTACCGAGTCACGCTATAGACGGCCGAGTACGGCACTTATTGTGCAACCACTGATCAGTTGGGTTTTACCGAGCTCCACGTAGCCAGGTACGATTCTACCGAGCCTTATGATGGTCGGGTACGTTTCTACCGAGCCTATTATGGCTGGATACGATATGATGATGATGATGCCTACAAAGGCGTATGTTTTCAAAGTTTATATATATATATATATATATATATATATATATATGTCTGTGTCATGCATTTCATGTCAGTAGCCCTCAAAGGTACATAGATATCGCAGGTTGTATATTCTCTATCCCTATTTACATTACTATTCATACTTATGCTTTCCTGCCTTGCATACTCAGTACTTTATTCGTACTGACGTCCTTTTTATTTGTGGACGGTGCATGCAGCACTGCAGGTCCTGATAAACGGGTAGATGCAACTCCCACACCACAGTAGGCTGCCCAGTTCAGCGGTTATTGGCGAGATCCCTTCTCCGGACTTGCCGTGATCTTGGTATGCATTTTTGTTATAGACATTATGGGTATATCGGGGCCCTGTTCCGGCAATGTTGTAGCACTTATGTTCCTTTAGAGGCTCATAGACAAGTGTCGACTCAGGTATAGTTTGGTATGCTTTGTCGGCTGATTTTTGTTGTATAGTCTCTCATGGTAGCGTGGTAGCTCGTACCTTATACATAGTTTCTTGATTGTCTGGTCATCCCATGTTATGTATGTCCATGCCCTTATCTTTCATTGTTGGTTGCTCATGATCCATGTCTACCATTTATATTGATCTCGTCAACCTTTAAAGATAATAAGGAAGGTTAGATAAAATGTACGTTGGTGCTCGGCAAATATGGCCCGAGTGCTAGTCATGACCCTCCAATTTGGGTCGTGCCACTCCTTACCCATTAAAAAAAAAAGTTAAGGCTTACGACCAAAAAGTTCAGCACATCAGAACTTTTGCAAAAAGTGTTGCAGCAATAATTCGCTCAATTTTAAGGTGAATGCTGAGGATTCAGGGTTCAAGACAAAAGATGATAACTCACCCACTCAACTTCCTCTTGTCCCCAATCAAAACTAGGAAGGAGTTCTCAAAACTATACGACTGTTATCTCATGTCATCCTACTCAATCTCAAACTCTACGGAAAAAATAGAAATGTCAAAGGCAAAAAAATAATGATGGAACAATTGAGTTAAGGTAGAGAAAAGATAATTAAATAAAAAGGAAGGTGCCCAATCCCTGGCCACATTTTTTTCTGGTAGAGTGGGTCTATGTAACGACCCGGCCGGTTGTCTTAAGAATTTACGCCCCGATCCCCTGATAACTGCTTTCCCCGTGTTTGTTTCTGCTATTGTGAGTTGCCGGGAGGAATTATTAGGAGTTTCGAAGAGTTTTGGGACACTTAGTCCCTAAATGAGAGCTTAAGTTCTAGAAATTTGACCGTAGTCGGAACAGTGTGAAGACGGACTCGGGATGGAATTCTGATGGTTTCGTTAGCTCCATTGGGTGATTTCGGATTTAGGAGCGTGTTTGGATTGTGTTTTGGAGATCTGTAGCTAATTTAGGCTTGAAATGCCGAAAGTTGAATTTTTGAAGTTTCCGGTTCGATAGTGAGATTTTGATCCGAGGATCGGAATGGAATTCCGGAAGCTGGAGTAGCTCCGTAGTGTCAAATGTGACGTGTGTGCAAAATTTCAGGTCATTCGGACGATGTTTGATAGACTTTTTGATCGAAAGCGTATTTTGAGAGTTTTTGAAGTTCTTAGGCTTGAATCTGATGCTAAATTGGTGTTTTGATGTTGTTTTGAGCGTTCCGAAGATTGGAACAAGTTTGAATGATGTTTTAGGATTGGTTGGCATGTTTAGTTGAGGTCCCGGGGGCCTCGGATGTGTTTCGGATGCTCAACGGGGCATTTTGGAACTTGTTGAAATTGCAGAAAAATTGCAGCAGCCCAGTTCTAGTTTCCTTCTTCGTGTTCGCGAAGAGGAGCTAGGGCTGGGGGAGAATTAATGCTTCGCGTTCGCGGAGCTGGGAGGTTTCATACCTACGCGTTCGCGATGGTGTTCCCGCGTTCGCGTAGGAGGAGGAGGCTTTGCATCGCGTTCGCGTCCTATGTATCGCGTTCGCGACGAAGGAATCTGGGCCCAAGCGAATTTGTGCTTCGCGAACGCGAGGAGCCTTCCGCGTTCGCGAAGAAGGGATATCTGGGCAGTATTTAAAAAGCTCATCCACGACCCTTCTTCATTTTTCCACCATTTTTGAACGGGATTGAAGCTTTTGAGGATGATTTTTTAGGAAACCAAAGGAGAATCACTTGGAGGTAACATTTTTGACTTCATAGCTCGTTTATATGTGATTAAAGGTCTAATTAGTGGAGAAAAACTTGGAAAAAATGGGTAATTAGGGCTTGAGATTAAGAGATCTTAACATGGGTATTTGAGGGGTCAATTGAACTCCGATTGCAGTGTTCTTGTTATGTATAGATTCGTAAGAGTATGAGGATTCTGAAAATATAAATTTCACCCAATTCTGAGATGTGGGCCCGAGGGGCGTTTTGGTCATTTTACCTAATTTCGCGTATTAGCTTAGAATTTAATTGTAGAATCAGTTACTTGAAGTGTTATTTACATTATGCAATTGAATTGAATAGATTTGGGTCATTTGGAGTCGAGTACTCGTGGCAAGAACGCGGTTTTGGGTTGACTTTTGAGCCGGTTCGAGGTAAGTGGTTTGCCTAACCTTGTGTGGAGGACATTCCCCTTAGGATTTGGTATTGTGGTAATTGAAATGCCTTGTACGTGAGGTGACGAGTGCGTACTTGTGCTAATTGTTGAAAATCTTGTTTTCACTTAAGTAGGTTTAATTGTGTTTTCCTTTCATGCTTACTCTACTTGAAATTTAAATCTGCTTTTAGCTTAGAAAGGCATGTTTAATTGCTTTATTGCTTAAACTGTCGTAATTGTATTATGTGAAGCATGTTAGGTTAGAATTACCTGTTTTACTTGGTACGAAATTCAGCTTAATTGAGTATTCTTTGTGTTGTTGCTGTGCGTTTTACCTTGGGACTACGGGACGGCATCCCGGGAGATCCCCTGTACGTATTGAGGATACCAAGAGATCTCTGGCATGTATTGAGGGTACTAAGAGATCCTCGGGATACTGAGAGATCCCCGGTCATTCTCTTTGAGAAGAGTGGTATTCCTAGTGATTGTTCCTGTTTCTGTTTCAGTTATAGTTATCCTTATTATCCTGTATTGATTCTTATTGTTATCTTTTAAATGTACTGCTTTATCTTATATTGTCGCACATTGTTGTAAATAGCGCTTGCTACAGCTAAAAGCGTGTAGCAATGCAAGGCGAGCATGTGT